TGGCTACAGAGCGCTCGCGCTAAATGTCACCGCGCGCTCTCATGCAGGGATATTGTGCATGACCTACAGTTTTGTGCTTCAGTCATGTAGCGCAGTGCTTTTCCCGCAAATTATATCTCCTTGATTAGGCTGGCATAAAAAATGAGGAGGTGGTAACTCGTAGAAAGACGGGAAGCCCAGAGGTACAAATCAGTCGTTGAAAACCGCGTTCAACCCAGCCCACTGTTGAGTTTTTCTTTTTTGAAATAATTTCTTTTACGTAGCTAGATCTGTCCATACTAGGTTTACGCAATTGGTGTTTTTTAATTTATTTTACCCTCAGTGCCGAATGGCAATACAGAGGAGGGCGGGTTATTTACAAAATAAATACATAAAGAAAAAGCCGTGAATGCGGTTATATCATATGAATAAATATTTTAAAATACAATGTCTGCTAATACACTATATACTAATACATGTTAGCTAATGCAACACGGAACCTAATTTTACAATGCTAGCTATTACAATGAAAAGAGCTTATTACACACTGTTAGCTAATGAATCATGGAGCAAGTTGTTATCGCTCATAGCAATAATGTCACCGGGAAGTCTGTTCTTCTGCTTTGATGTGCAAGACACAATTGAATCGTAGAAATTATTTTTGTTGCATGAAGGAATGCCTACTTTGTGATGGTGGTCAATGCTGTGGTATTTGTGCTCTGGACGAGGTAGTAGTGTGTCATGCAAGATGTAATGATGGTATAACTTGCGAAATAGAGTTAAATGGGAGACTTTTTTGCAAGATGTTAAGGAAGAGAGTGTAAGAGAAATTTTCATGGTTAATATGCTCCCGGTTCTGTTGTAATTCAACAATAAAAAACGAACAAACTTATTCTGAACAAGTTTAGGGGAAATTACTGGATTAATATAAGCGGTATCCCACATGGCTGTAGCATAATCTAGCTTAGAGCGTATTAGTGTTTTAAAAATTTGCAGTTTTAAGCCATGTGGCGCATTAAGAAAGTAACGCTGTAGGTAGCCAAACATGCGGTTAGCATTGATATAATGTATTCAATATGAGGTGACCAGTTGAAGTTAGTTGTTATGTGAACTCCAAGATACTTGTAACAGTTAACAGAATCCGAAGGAATTTACTAAGATAGTAAACATGTGAAGTAATTCAAGTTCTTGATACACGCTTAATTTTACGCTTTTTATTGTTTAGTTCCATTAGCCATTTTTCGCTCCACTTAGATATAGCTTTGAGGTCAGACTGCAATATATTATTGTTATTATCGCTAGAGATTTCTCGAAAAATAACACAGTCGTCAGCAAATAGATGAATGCTACAGGATACAACTGATGACAGGTCATTATTAAGAATGACGAACAACAGGGGGCCTAACAAGGACCCTTGCGGAACGCCAGAACGATGTTCTCGAAAAGAAAAAAATATGACCATTTACAGCAACGAAATGTGATCTGCTAGTGAGAAACCATTCAATCCACATTAGTAGGTTACCGTCAATATTTAATTGCTATAGTTTGTAAACTAGCAGTCTATGGCAAAGCTTGTCAAAAGCTTTTAAAAAGTCTAGAAAAATACAGTTGGCATGGGATGATTTAGCAAAGATCTGATGTAAGTGATGAGTGAATAGTATTAGCGGTGTTTCACATGAATATGTTTCACGGAATACATGTTGTCCTCACATGAAAAAATACCTTGATTCTAAAGGATTTAGTATGTTTGTAAATACTACGTGTTCGTGTATCTTATAACAAATACTAGGTAAAGAAATGGGATGATAATTTTTTGAAGAGTGTGTATTACCGGATTAACGGAGTGGGACGACTTTCCCAATTTCAAATTGACAAGGAATAGGAGAAGTATCCAGTGACTGTTGAACAATTTTAGTATGTATAATGAAACTGTAAGCGTTAGTACGTTTTAAAAATTCTGTGTTAATAACATCACAACCAGGAGACAAATCACTGCTAAATGATTCAATGAGGCGTACAACTCCAACAGTTTGAATTATCACGGATGACATGGGCGAATAATTGTCGAATGTCGCGCTAGGTAAATAATTACGGCTTTCTACGGAGATGTGTTTGATAAAAAAATTGTTAAAAATAGCAGCGCAATGGGCTCACTGATATTGTTACCGGAAGGTAAAAAATTAGTGTATACGTTTTCCACGTGTCATTAGAGTAGGTTGTTCAAAAATTAGTATAGGTTGCCCATGAAAGGGCAACCTATGCTATGTAGGGTCCTTGGTTTCTGTAAGTACAGCACTGTATACCGAAAAAGTGTGGTTGAGAACTTCATTCAGGTGACAACTATAATGCCTCTGCATATGCAGCGAAACAACTTCGTGAGAAGCGTCCCACATGCGACGTGTCCTGCCTGTGCAATAATTTATATTTATGCCGAATAACGAAATAATTCGAAAGCACAAATGGCCAATATGCTTTCGTGATCCACGTCCTTTGGTGCATTGCTGATTATCACGGTGCATACAAGATAACATGAATTGTAATACCACAAAAGGCGCTGGGGCTTTAGGCGAAGGTACGTCCCTTTATAGCAAGACGCATTATGTTTAATTTCGCTTTCGCATCATTTCAGCCAAATACATGAGCGCCGAAGTGATTTTTGAATTGCAATAAGTGCTTTGTTTGAAAAACCTATCAGTGACACTTCCCTCTTCACTTCTGACGTGAACCAAAATATCAAAACAAGTAGTGTTCACAGCTGAAGCAATGTGTACAGAAAGCCAGCGGCAATTTTTATAGGCTGACTTTTGTCCATCATTGAAGGGGCTCTTTGGTTTACCCATATGCTTGCTTCATATGAACTTTTAGATGGGCACCGTCATACGTAGACAGCAACCATTCTGGTGAAAGCGCAAAAAAGCAAGCTTAAGGAGACCTATGTATTGTTTGTCACCTGAAAAGAGTGGTAGTGATGAAGAAGAGCGCTGCCGTAATAAACGTATCAACCATTACGTTTCATACTCCGTTGTATCAGCCAAAATTTTTTAATCGCTTTGTAGAAAAAAGAAGCTCTAAAAACCAAAACAACTTACTTTTATTCCCCATTTGTACATATTGCATGTTTCTTGACATGTATTCATTCGAGCCCATTTTCCATAGTATCATTTTTTTAGTGTTTCATACTGTTAATCTCAGTTTGTACACAATATTTACAGAAACACCCTTGGGACCGGGCTAGCTGGTACTGCATATGTTCTGGTGTAACGAAAAGGAACTACACCTGACTGTGAAATAGTGATCGGTCCTCCCGCATCGTGTTTTGGGCTGAACCTCCAAATATGAGCGCGAAACAGTATTGCAGGTTCATTAACAATTCAGAAACATTCCTTGGCAGCAATAGTCACATCTATAGCCCGTCAAGTGTCCGTGAATTTCTCAGTTGTTTGAGTTTACAACATATGTCGATTATCTTTGCACTAGACATTAGTACCCAATTATATTTTATGTCTGAAAACAAACACTATTGTTTATCAAATGCAAAAGCAACCATGCTTTTTTATCCTACAAAGCTATCGAATAGCAGCTTCAGTGAACAAAAAAGTGCACTACCGTCTTTTTAGAGCACCCACTTCATTGTCGATTCATTGATTAAGCGAAACAATTTGGCATCAAGAGCGCTTCATTGATTGAGAGCCTGTCAGTGAGAGCTTCTGCCGAAGTGATTGGTGCGCAACTTTTCTGAATCTCGTTGAGAAACAGATTGTCTGCGGCTGCCCCGGAAAAGTGTGCCATTTTGTTTTGAAACGATGCCCTGCATTGATGAATAAATATGAGTGGCGTATAACACCAAACGGACCAGGACGTTACGCATTCACATCTATTTGCAAAATTTTTTTATTTTATTGTGCCGAGTCAAGTGCGCAAGGTTTTTAATTCATTTTGTGCTTTTATGTCATTAGTCTCTGTTCATATATGTAGCATATCATTTCAGAGCAAACTAATGTACCAACTATCCCTAGATGAAGAACTTTTGTAAGAAAAAAAATATAGGTATTGTACAGCATGGTTAAGTGCTGTTTATTTTGACCCTGACAATCATATCACGTGCATTTGTGACGTGTAACAAGCAGGTATTTTTATCGTATTCCAAAAAATACTCACTATTAGAAAACAAAGAATGGCCAAAATGTAAGGTATCGAAAATAGTTTACTCTGTGATGTTTTACGTAGTCATTCATAAGTGGTCATTAGGCGATGAACCATTTCCGTGAAATTTGTCGAATCGACTCGCGAGCACGTGCTGTGGGCCTGACGCAGGAAGTTTCAACCAGTCATATTGTAATGGATTCATCCAGTGTTTATGCCATTGTCTTATTGATACTATTTTCCTCTCTACAGCATCAATATTGAGAAAGTGATTACAATGATTGCTTCTTAGAAGTTCACGTGCTAATTCCACGATGCGAATATCACGTATGCCTTAGTTTATCATTCCTGCTTATTTTGAGAGCCCGAAATTGCTTCACTCGTAATCAAGCCTATGTACATGGGTGTCCATTCATTTCGCCCCCATCGAAGTGCTACCCGCGTAGCATGGACTGAATCCGTGTAGTAGCAGTTAACAGAGCTGAGCGTTTTAAAGGTACCACCAAAATACACAAATAATAAATAAATAGTGTAACACCTCGCGTCGATACCTCTTATTAGATAAATCTAGGCTATTGGCTGAGGAGCAGATGTTCGATTACAAATGAGTTATTGTCTTTTGTGAGTAAAGCTTTGAAGTGGGATGTCATTCAGAAAAATGTGCCATGACATTCAAGATTGAAGAGATAGCCAGCTCATATCGTGCTAGTCTGTTGGTATTTTTTTAAAACTATGTTAAATAAATGCTTTCTACACAATGATACTTCCTTGGGGTGCTCATGACAGATTGTTGTGTTTGATATTGCTTTTTACATACGTACCAATAATGTTGAGCAGACCATTTGTGTATAGAGGGACTTTTGCTTCTTAATTTTCAGAGAATCATCTGTTCTTTACGCAAAATTAGGCTGCGATATGTTACATGAATACATGAACGTCAGCAAAATTCAAGGTGAGAAAAATCATTTTAATTACGTTTTTATTGTCTTCAATGCAAAGCTATGACTACTACGATTTAAAATTGCAGTTGCCCTCAGTTATATTCGTATTCAGCCGCCCATCCCTGCATGGTTATGGCGAAGCAGTTTTGTGTGTTCACCCAAGACATTCTCATGTTTATTTATTATTTTTTGCTTGTTTCCACGCACAGTTCATAGCTTTCTTATCAGCTTTTATTTCTTTCTCTGCCAAATTAATCCTGATGTATTTGCTACACATAAATATTAAGAGTGAGAGCTGTTATGAGAAAGCCCCATCCGACTTTGGTGCGAGTTTTCCACCGCAACCGCCGGTGTGGGCAGCCAGTATATTGTAATTTGAAAACAATATAAATGAATATTTAGTTATAGGTATCCGTAAAATACGAGAAAGCGAAACGTTTTCCAAGTGAAGTATTTACAGGCTTATTGTATATATATATAAATAAATAAATATATATATATATAAATATATATATATATATATATATATATATATATATATATATATATATATATATATATATATATATGTGAAAGCTTCGTATAGAAGACAGCCATAGGAGCACTTACCATTGATGCATCCACCTCGACGGTTAGTAATTCATCTACATCCCAGCGACTAACTCCATCATTAGCGAATAAACAAAACCTCATGGTCGCAGATACTTGTGGTAGCTATTGCAGGTTATGATCAGAGCGGAATCAGATAAAGTGATGAGACAGCCAGAAGGGCGTCAAAAATTGGACGCGCAACTGGGTCATAGGTCGCCTATTTGCGTCATCTAGGAGTTATTGAGCACCACTTCCCAACCACAGAGAAACGCTACGCGTACCGTATTTTCCTTTTTGCCCGGCGCGATTATTCGCGGAGCGAGCGTGAGTAACACAAACCTACATCCAGGCGAAAGAGGCGCGTTCGAGAAGTTGCAAATCTATGTGTCGTATCATAGGCGTATCAGTCAGAGGGGGGGGGGGCAAGGGGGACGAGAAGAGTTCCCTTCTCTGAGAAAAATGGGGGGGGGGGCTGAGCACCCCCCTCCACTTTCGACAGAGGTCACTCTTGGCTGCACGCTGGGGAAACCAAGTAATGCTTAGTTTCCACACAACCTTATTCACTCAATTATGTTCTCACGGTGGAATGAAACTGCTACGAGGCTGTTACAAAAAACTAAAATTTTTGCTGATATTGCGGCTGTGATTATATATATATATATATATATATATATATATATATATAGTGGGAGTAATAATTCAATGGGCCAGTTAGTATTCGTGAAGGTATGGGATATGGCACAACGGGAGCGTTGTCAACAAGGATAAATATATTCATTTCCCTACAGTTTGGGGAGGGGTCCTCCCTTCATCAGATCAGGGGATGAGTTATACTGACATAAACTTCCAAACTTCGTTGCTGCCGCGTCCCTCTCGCCTTGAAAGATGTTTGCGAGAGTGAGAGGGAACTAAAAAAAGGAAAGAAAGAGAAAAAAAGAAAAAGAGGGAAGAAAAAGACGAAAAGAAATAAAAGAAGAAGAGAGAAAAGAAAGAAAGTAAAAAAGAACCACTGTCAACACTGAGAACAAAACCAACTGTCGGTGTGCGTTCACATCCGGTTTTTATCACGTGCTGTTCAGTTCTCGACGTGTGTCGGGCCACCCAAGATTGTCGCCGAGGTGGCGGGAGGTGTCCATGACGGCGTGCGTAAAGAAAGGGTTTCCCCTTAATGGGTCGGTCGGCTCTTTACCTTTAATCTTCGTCTGTTTCCCTTCAATGGTCATCAAGTGTTAGGGGAACATTCACACTTTGTACGTGCATGTGAAAAAAAAAGAAAAAAGAAAAACAAAAAACAAGAAAGGACAGTGTACACGTACGAGTCAGTCAGAAAAAACAAGCATGGTCTCCAGCTATCAATCTTTGTCACTAATTTCCTCCTGGCTTACTTCTCGGAGGCAGGAGAGTTTTCCGGGGTCCTCGTTGATGCCGGCTACTAATGTTCGAAATTTGAAAATGAAATATGCCTCACGCTGTTCGCGCTCGCGCCTGTTTGAGAAACCGGACTGCAAAAGAGTTACGCTGATATTTTCAAAACTGTGGTTTGGCAGGCGCAGATGTCTAGATAAAGGTAGCTCCGGCAGTGAAGTGGCGTGGTACCAGTGATAATTGAACCACAGCCGAAATGGCGCGTCTGTTTGGCTGATATATTCTTGTCCGCAGATGTTGCAATGTAGCATGTATATATCTATATATTTAAGGGAAAGAAGTGTATACCTAAGGGCTCGTTTTTCCGTGTTTTAACGCAATATTAATTAAATCTAACAGACAGTAATGCCAAGGAATGTACAGGGGAAGATATTAGAACCAATGGAATGTAAATAAGAAGAAAGAAAAGTGGATGAAAAACTAACCAGCCGTGAGCAGTAATCGAACGTACGACCTTCGAATCATCGAGCGCGTTATTCGAAGGTCGTAGGTTTGATTTGACTCCCAGCGACCTTTCTTTGGATCGTCGCTGTCGTGGTTCGGAGGTTGTCCACGTATCGTGTCTGAAGCCATTAGTTTGACGTCCCCTTTCCGTCTAAGACGCGTCCGGGCTGACCACTCAAGAGTGGGGGGCGGGGGTTAAGTGTGAGCATTATTCATGCGCGTCATCTTAATATATGTACATACTCATCATCATCAGCCTTACCTGTGTTGCGGGGCAGAGGCTCGGCAAGTAAAAGAATTGTCTTGCAGCCAAAACGTTGCCTTACAATATATATATATATATATATATATATATATATATATATATATATATATATATATATATATATAGGCATGTTTATTGAGTGGCCGTAGCGTTGCAGTTGCATATAGTCCAGTAGATCCTCCGTGAGCGGTCACAACTTGGTTTATTTCGACGTTTCCTTCATCCTGATGAAGCCCAGACTCTAGGCCGAAACGTCGAAATAAACCACGTTGTGACCGCTCACGGAAGATCTACTGGACTATATATATATATATATATATATATATATATATATATATATATATATATATATATATATATATATATATCCCAGCTGATGAGTGAGGTAGGATTGCCCTCCCATTCGCGAAAGAGATGGTACGCCACTGTGTCGTATGGTTCAACGAACGCTGGCATCGCTGCTGTAGCGGCAATGTGACGTCAAGGCAAAGACTGTTTCGTCACCTCTTTTCGCTCTTCACCTATTGTGCGCTGATTCGTCACTGATACGGTCATAATTAGTCCTCAATTTCGCAATGGAAATATTTATTGGCATCATTTAGAAGGTTTCATACACTCCTAGTCAAATCCTAGCTAGAAAGGAAGCCTGCAGGCAGGAAATCAAATTCAATTATGGCCGCTTATACGCGTCCCCATAGCCGTGTTCGATAGAAACCAACCCGATTCGAAGTGGCCTTCAGTATAGCCGCGACAAGGATTAGCAGGGATTTTAGGTCATTTTTTTTGACAAGATACTACATGCTGTTAGGCCAGCATGACATTTCCGTAGGCAGCTCGGCCCTGAAGTGGTGGCGGAAAAGAAAACATTATTTACGCATTCGGGAGTGGTTTCTTGCCTATATTGCGGTGGATATCATGACTATAGGTAATTAGACAGCCAATATTATCACAATCATCTACATCTGCGATTTTCACATGCAAAGCACACTCAGCCCAAGAATCGAACTCGGGATCACACGTACAGGCAACAGATGTCATACCCATTGCACCACAGCATGAAGGCGAGGTTTTTTGCGGGGTTATACATCTACCAAGTGGCTTTTTGCAAACCGTCGGCGGAGCCTTGAACTGTTTTTGTGCCATATACATTTGTTTGCGCATGCATTTGATCAGCGAATAGTTTGTACAGCTTGATGAACTCGAGACAACCATGGTGAGTGCTTTCATCTCCGACTTCGGTTCGTGGTGTGCCGTTCTGCTGGAACGTTAGCGTGGGTTTATGTGTAGTTTTAGCGCTTCCCCGTGAACCACGGGTGTTTCGCTTACCGAAAGTCGCGGACGAAGCTGTGCTCGGCTGTGGAAACCTACTTATGTTTCTCGCACGAACATGTGCTGTGAGCAAATTCGCTGATTTATGTCGGGAGGTACACGCGTGTCAGTAACATCAGCCTATCTTAACTGTTTGACAATGCGCACTCCACGTAAACGTTGCATGGGTATTTTAGCGTGCCTACTCTAACATTTGCATTTCGTACACGCGAACGGCCGTGAGCTGCACGCTGGGGCTGCAGCGCCTTTTTAGCTTTTCGACGATTACTTATTTCCGTGATAAGTACTTATGCGCATTATTTCGCAATATAGAGTGGTTTTTGTTCATTTTTGGTATTTAACTGATCCTATTTATGGGGAGTGGCTACTGTTACTTTTATTCAGCATCAAACCGTTGTTCGAGTGAAGGCCGAAACACGTGCCAAGCTCAAGTAGGACGTACAGAAATTAGCGACGGACAGGTCGGTCTCCCTCCAAATAATGCTTGTGTACATCTTTTTCGCGAATGTTCGCGTACAGTTGGGGTCAAGAAATGGTGCACAACGAACCTTAAAGTCTTTATTGTTACTGCATGCAGTTGTTCTTTTGAAAATGGGGATTTTTCTAGCTGGAATGTTACCTCCACAGCAGTACACTAGTTGTCTTGGTCGTGGTTCACTGTTACAAATCGATGCTGGAATATGTGAACTGTACTTATTATGCAAAAAGTGAGCAAATGTCGGTGGCATATGCCCTCCTGCTGACTTCTGCAGCTGACTTCTCCCTTCGGTACTTGATGTTCCAGTCCATCATCAACATACGCATTCACTAATCAAACATCAACCAATCGATATTCAATTTTGATCTTTGTCAGTTTCAGTGCCTCCCGTTTGTTTCTTTTTTGCGATGCTTACCTAAAATCATCAGTTCGACTTGTTTCGTAAAACTCGAGCATCAACATACACAGGCCAGTGTATC